TGATATACATCCGGGCAAATTATAATAATTCACTAACCTGAATTAAGGCCATTTGGGGATGATTTCCCTTATTAACCATGATTCCAGTGAGGTCGCAGTGAGGTCGTTATAATTTACCCAGATACATTGATATACTGTGATATACCCCAATATCTCGCCATTTTCCATGGCGGAAAATGAGATGGAACCAATGAACCACTGGATTTCTCGTGCCCTATGATGGACCAACCCATATGGCAGTGTGTCAAAACCTTGTACCCCTGGTGAACATCAAAATAGCTGGTAAATGGATGTTCATCCCACTAAAAATGGTATTAATAGGTATTGATCCATACCCATATAGGTGTTTTATTCCCTGGGTTTCTCCCACCAGGATCCTCGGTTCGTCAAATGGTTCGCCAATGGGGTGACTTTTCTCGTGATAAATCCCTAGTGATAGGGGTACATTATATAGTACACCGTTAAAACCGTTAAAAGCTATAGCTGGGATTCTTTAAATATCCCACAAATCAAACAGCCAATCTTACATGCCTTACAAAGATGGTTTCAAGCTGGGTAGTCAATATCACCATGTTTTGCACAGACATACCAAAGCTAGCAAAACCATGTTTATTCAGAAAAGGTAGTTGGTTAAAGTCCCGTAGGATCCTAGAAAGAATCCAGTTTCTTCAAATCAAAAAAAACATGTTCCTGATATTAAAAAAAACATTTAATCCATCAAAACACAATAGCTAAATCGTCAAAAATATCATAAAACGGCCAATAGAATCCACTTGAAAATCCAAATTCAAGCTTTAGAAGTCCTGTAACACTAACTTGAAATGTCACTAAGTACCCTCTGGTTATTTAACAGTTTGCCATGGTATAGATGGCCCATAGAAATAGATGATTTTCCCAGCTAGAAAGCTCCATTTATTTTGGTGATTTTCCTTGGCAAACTGTTAGTCATAACCAGAGGGTATATCCATATGAATCCCATTAATCACTAGAAAAAAGATATATATATATATATATAAATCACTATTGATGGATATCAACAACTATAAATGGTACCCTCTGGAAAATGTTTATAAAAAGACAGCAAAAGACCCCCAACATCTCCAAAAACGTCTCCCCAAAGCACCTGGTGGCGCGCAGCGAAGTCTGCTTTGCCCACGAAGATACCATCGGCTTCCACGTAGACCGGCGCGCCACCCATTCGGCCCACCTGTGGTTGTGCAACTCGCAATGCAAAAATGGTGAAAAATAGAGGTGACAAACCTGAAAATAATGAATAATTCACTAATCTGAAATATAATCATAATCACATCAAGAAATATTTTCAGTATGACATCTGGGCAAATTACAATAATTCACTAACCTGACATAAGGCCAACTATTGGGATGATTCCCTGCAATCTAACCATGATTCCAGGGCTCGGGAGAACAGCGAGGTCGTTATAATTTGCCCAGATGACATACTTTGACGATGACTGGATTTAGAAGGATTCTAGATGTGGATGTTTTGCGATTTTGATTTGGATTTAGATGTGGATCTGATGAGAATAGAGGAATATGAATCATAATACCCTCTGGTAATTTGTTACAGTTTGCGAACTTGAAAATGGCCCAGTCGAAATAGTGGATTTACCCATTGAAAAATGGTCAGTTTGCTATTGAAAATGGCCCAGTCGAAATAGTGGATTTACCCAGCTTAAAAAGCATGGTGGATCTTTCCCATGAGTTTTTTGTTTCTACGTTGACCCGGGGCCGGGTTGGTCTCACTGGAGGAGAAAATCATCCTCCGCGATTCGCGGTCAGTCAAATTTCAAATGTCTCACAAAAATATAGAAAAATGGTGAGAAACTGGGGGTCAATTCACAGATAAAATTACTTCTAGCAAACCAAACCAATCGGTTTATCGTTGAGACACCAGGAAAGTGATGTCTTCGTTGACCGATGTTACCACAGCATATCAAGGTCTCATACGCACGATCCAAAAGGAAAAATCACCTACGAAGCCCTTAAAAAAGTGAGCAGTGTTGCATAGTGCTGCACTTGTTCGTGAATTCGGATGAATTCGGATTCCCAGGGAGGTTTCCATCCAGTCAAGGGGGTACCCCCAGTCATCATCCATTCAAAAAGCTAGGATTTTCCATGAAATAAACCATAAACCATCCAGCTATTGGGGTACCCCCCATTTTCGAAAACCTCCATATCTTAGTTGTTTCTCCCCGAAACATCAACATCAACAGGGGTCAAAAAAAACACAGCCTGTTTCGTCCTCAAGGAGTGAATCGTTGGATACACCTGGCAGGTGAACTTCACGTGGAGATATAACTCACTTTCTCGTAACGTTGGGCTTATATCCCAACAAGCTTTTTGGGGGGTTCATGGGGGTTAATAGTTCACCATGGTCGATCCGACAAACACGAATCTTCAAGAAGTGTCCACAGGAATTCAGCTTTAAATATATACCATGGTTTTCCTGAGCATCCTGTAGGTTTTCCTTTGAACTTTGAACCAATCCAGTGGATTTAGGATGATTTAGGGTCCAGGATATGCATCATTGAAGGAGCAATCAAGACTTCCGTTTCGAGAAATTTGGATCTGACCCAAATCCGATGCAGTCAGAATTCTGCATGATCCCCTGAAGGAAAGTGACATATGGAAATCCATGAGACAAAGCCATGTAGCTCAACGAGTGAGACTTATGAGACTTGCTAAAAATAGCTATGGATCTTTCACTCACCAACCACTCAGACGCTTTTTTAATCCCATTCCAAAAGACCTGAAATTCCCACCCAAAGTGAATACCCTCTGGTAATTTAACATAACTATGGAAAATCACCCTTTTATAGCTGAGAAAATAGCAAGCTGTTAGTCATTACCAGAGGGTAGATCCAATAGTCAACCAAGGTGAAAATTTGAGGGAGGGGACGAGTTTAATCGCCAGAAACCCCGCACCAAAATCCCAGCCGCGGTACCGTGGTTTGGGGCCGAGCATTCGGCGGAGTCGGTCTCTCCGTTGAATGGTTTCACCGTGGCAAGGCTATGGCAACATGAGTGGTTTAACCATACGAACCAACCAAAATGTGGGACTAATAACCTACAAATCATAGGGTTAAACCATCCACCAAAAAAAGCATCCTCCAATATTCAAACAGCCCCTATTGTATGGTCACTATTATATGTTTTCCAATCCCCTACTCAACTATGCTTTTCTGGGGAGGTATTTAACCGCTAGCTTCATCCCCGTCTCAGGTTTGCAACTGGAAGCTGCAGCCAGCGTGAAACCATTGGGCGTGTCCTACAAATGACTTGCCCTGGGAAAAAAAGCAGGGCAGTGAAACTTCGAAAATTCGACATGCAGCATGCAATGGCAAACATCAGATTGTCAATTGACAACATAAAGTTGGGAAGACAGCAACGCATGACGCAGGTAAAAAGGTGAACTGTTTTCCCCACATGCCTAGCATCCATTTCACCGAATCTACTGCTCGTCTTCCATTGATTTGGTTGGTGAACTTGGGAAACACATTTCTTGTTGGCAAACATTCCAATGTTTATTTGTAACAACCCAAATCATCACATTATCTACTTGGGATGTTTTTTGTTCATAACCCCCTGGCCCCCTGTTCTGTATTGTGTTTTCTAATTTGGAATTGTTTATAATCATCTGGGCAAATTGTAAAATTCGAAAAAATCCTGTTTTCAGGTGGCTTTTTTAAAAGGGGATGATTTCAGGATTCCACAGGGAACTGGAACATCTATGGCTTTTTTTGCGGATCGCGACGTGAGGTGGTCCTTGTTATGTCATCAAACGTGGGCCTTAAAAAAAACAGAGCTCAAGGGAAGTTTATAGGATGGGAAAATCATCTGTAAATGGAGGAATTGTCAATTGCCACGTTTGAGTACCGGCGGGTATTTACCATGAACCCGGGTTAATCAATTTGTAAATCAGCTTAGCTAAGTAAGGGGCACTACCTTGCATGTTGTTGGTTAAATCCACATTTTGGTGAACTAAATTCACACGTGTTGAGGTTAAGTGCCAACTTAAATCAAAATATGTCATCTGCTGCTCGTGTCTTCAATATCATATGGTAACCCATGAAGTCCCCGTGTTTCTTGCTTAAGTCACCAAGTTCTTGTTGATAAAAACATCCCCATTCTTGTTGATGGAATCTCAACGCCTACTGATAAAATCATATATCATCCATCCTGACACCATCCACCCATATCATTGTTGCTTGATATCCCCAAAAAGGTAAGTATATGGAATGGTTCCCTGGTGCACCTGATTCATTTCATATATTTTCACCCACAGCTTCATCTGGTTTCTCTATACCCTAGAGGTTAATATCCCATAGTCTGATGTTCAAATCCCAATTTTTGATGGTCCTTTCTTTAAATGAAAAAACAGTCAAACCATCCGACTCACCACTTTCACTTCACCATCCAGTTGTTTAATAAGGAATTATATGACTATTATATAAACAAATCCTGAAATTGGCATTACCCCCCTTTCACATCACAGCCTCCATCACTGATTTAAATCGTGACTTTCCTACAGTATTCACTCTTGAGCAAAGAGTTCCAAAGGTTTTGATGTTTCCAAAGTTCAATCTAGTTAAATCTTGATGAGTTCAGCAAAATCCTGAAATTGATATCATCCCCCTTTTGTGTATCACCAAAACTTCACCTCATCATGATATAACCCCCCATTGGTTCTATCACACTTTTCGTCATATTCTTGATTAATCTTGATTACATCCCTTAATATCCCATGAATCTCCTGCTTAGCCATCATTTATTCCACAAAAAGATAACCATCACCAACAAATAATATCTCAAAACTTCATATTCCATGAAAATCTAGAAAATCTCCCACTATTTCCATATGTTTCTTAAGGCTTCTAAGAAGCCTACCCTCTGGTAAACTAACATAGCTATGGAAGATCACCATTTTCAATGGGAAAATCCACTATAAATGGCCATTTTCAATAGCTATTTTGACATAACCAGAGGGTAAATCCCATCCTTCACTGCTCGTCTTCCGGCAGCTCATTGGGCAGATGGGTCCGGTGCGGCGGCCGCAGCAGCCGGTGCTCCGGGTCCTCCGCAGCGCGCACCGCGGCGGGCACGTCGCTCTTCAGCGCGTCGAAGCCGCTCAGCGGCACGGCGCCACGTTCCAGGCCGCCGGCGCCGGATTTGGAGGGCAGATGCACCTGCCGGAGAACCCCACAAGGTGGTTTCTATAGTTGGTTTATAGACCATAGTAGATTTAAACTATATAAACCACTATGGTAGATATCATAATTATTAATGAATCATAAGTCATTAATTACCCATCATTTACCAGAGGGTAACCAACCATAATTAGTAAAATTCAACATGAAAATCCCATTAGAAACCCATTAGAAACCCTTTAAGATCATTAATGACCATTAACTACAAGGTGCTGCCCCCCCAGTGATGTGAACGTTGCTTTTAAAACCATAGGAATAGTATAGATATATCTACCATAAACCCTAGTGAAATTGGAGTTATTGGCACCAACTTAGCGTTCACGAACTGGGGCACCACCTTGCAGGGATGGTGCCCCCAGTGATGCGGTGAAAGTTGGTGAACTCCGATGTGAATCACCAGATATATCCATATATCACCTATAAACCAACTTAGGTATCTTAGGGGCACCACCTTGTGATTTAGCTATTTAAAAATGGTGGATCTTTCCATCGTTTTTTGTTAACGTTTACCAGAGGGTAGGAGATATAACGAACCAGTCAAATGGGTTTACAAACTCACAAATGGGTTTTAACGAACTCAGTAACTAGTTGTGTAAACGTTTACCAAAGACGTACGGTGATCCAGTGTGGGAAGTTGGTGATAATAGCGGTGGAATTGACGATGCTTTGTGGATATGTCGAACGGGCCGGGGGGGTTGTGAAAATCAACTTATAATTGGGATGGTGGGGAAAACCACGGGAAGGGGTGAACTTCAAGTGGAGATGTATGACCATAAGGCCTTTATCCCAACAAACATGGGGGTTTAGTTCACCTGGCTTTAGTTCGGGGAAGTTCACCAGGTGTTGGTAGACAACATTTTGTGGGAAATCACTAGAGGTTCACTGGGATGAGACTGAAATTTTTGGCCAACTTGGGGGGATAGCTATGATAGCTACCCCGTTTTTGAAAAACCATAAAATCCCAGTGACCTCGCAGTGAGGTCGTGAGAAATTAGCAAGATAATATGTATGTGTATGTGTATATATACATATAAGTGTGTATATATATATATACTGTATATATATATACTGTATACATATAGTTGAGTTGTGATAAAATGCAGTGATAAACTGGATGGGTGGAAACAGATGGGATGCAAGAAAGAATGGGATTCATTCACCTGGCCAAAAATGATGATTTCTATGGATTTATACTTGATGTGTTCAGCTGGGATGATGGTTAGGTTGGACCACTGCGATTGACTGCGATGATGACGGGGATGGGATGGGGATGGGATGGAGCTTTTGGGCGGTATTTGGGCAGATGTGAAGGAAAAAAATGGTAAAAGTTAAGGAAGATGGTGATTTAAATCAAGAAATAGGGAGATGTATCTGGTTCAATGGGATGGTGGATGCTTGGATTGGTGAAAAAATTGAGGTGGTGAGTGGGTGGTGAGTGAATTTTTGGACATATCTCTATGTTTGTTGGGCTTCCAGAAAAATCCATGGGGGTAAATAGACTCAATCAAATGAACTTCCAATGAACACTTAGGAAATCATGGATTCAAGAAGAGGATAGGGCGGATACGGGATGCTCGGCAATGAAAAATCCACCATTTGTAGATGGTCCGATGATTCAAACCTTGGCCAGTGCGAGGATTTCCCATTTAGCCACCTTTCATTCAACACCGTTGCGGGTAGGCCAATCATTGGCAAACCACCATGTCTTGTGGCTTTTAACCATGTTAAACCACGATTTTTGTTGGTTAAATCAGTTAAATCCCATGAAATCCCATGAAATCACCATTAAATCATCATTAAATCCCACTAAATCCCATCAAATCCCATGAAATCACCACTACAAACTACTGCTAAGCCATCGCAGGCTTCCTGGCCTCCAAAGGCTTGGCTTCCCTGTATTCGTTCTCCAAAAGCCTGTCGAGACCGTGGCTTTGGAACAGCTAGGGGCCTGGTGATTTATAGTGGTTAAGAGTGGTTCATAGTGGTTAATAGTGGTTAATGGTGGTTCATAGTGGTTCATAGTGGTTAATTGTGGTTAAACATCCCAGGGGTTAATGGATATATACAAGGTGGTGCCTCAAATCGGAATCGCTAAGTTGCTGCGTTTATCCCGCCAATTTCACTTGGGTGAAATATGGGAAAAGAAACAAAGGAAACTCCCAAAAAAAATGGAGGGTTTTGCCTGGAAAATCAACTATAACATACTATAACTATGGTTTGTAGTAGATACCCTCTGGTAAACTGACATAACTATGGAAAATCACCATTTTTAATAGGTAAATCGACTATAAATGTGCAATCTTCCATAGCTAGGCTATGTTAAATTACCGGAAGATATATCGATCTCTTCATGAAGGTAACATCAACCCGTTGCTTCACATCACTGAGGAAACCACCTCGGACCCCGAAAAAGGCTCGCCCACGTTTGATGCATTCTATTTTGTAGAACTCAAATGTTTCTTAAAAGAACAGCTGAAGAATCTGAGATCAACAATCCGTTCTGTTGAATTTGTTGGTTGAATCCTTCTTGATTTTGTGCATTTCGAAGCCCCAAAGAAGATGATTTACCTATGAATGAAGATGTTCCATGGTTTTTTGTGTTAGATCACCAGACAATACTCCAAAGAATGACCAAAACCATCACAATCTCTAGTCCTCGGGGGGATTCCTTTTTGAACTGAGAACCCTCGTGCTTCGAAAATGTCTGAAACCCTCCAGACCGAAATTCAGTTGCTGGTGTGCACCGCATGAAAAATCACCCGTTTACTCAGAACTATGATGTCAATACAGTCTGGGTATATTATAATATTTCACCAACCTGAATTAAGGCCTTTCACCTTAAGAAAGAAGCCATCACCCTGCCCACCTGAATTAAGGCCATTTGGGGATGATTTCCCGCAATCTAACCATGATTCCAGGGCTCGGGAGAACAGTGAGGTCGTTATAATTTACCCAGATACAGTGTTTCCCAAGACTTTTGATGATTGGAACCCCCGAACCTTTGATGGTTCTCGTTCGATCTCTACAAGATCCCACAATTTTTCAAACGGTGACGTCCATGGAGTGTTTCTTGCCAAAAAATCACCAGTTGAACTGTTTAAATCTTCTTTTTTGTTGGTTGGATCGCCATTTTACGGTTTGTTGTTTGAAGCGTTATGTTTGTTGGTGAAATCACTATGAACCACAATCAACCACAATCAACCACAATCAACCACTATTAACCACGATTAAATCCCATAAATCCCCATGGTGTTGCGCTGTGAAATCCAAGAAACTCGTTGGTGGTTTCAACGATCTTGGTCACGTCCATGGTAACCTCCTGGCGGGTTTTCTTTCGACGGGGATGATTTCATGGAAAGGTTCGCTGGAAAGTTGGTTAGGCATCTCCCAATTTTACAGTGAGGTGTATGTCTATATATATATGTGTATGTATGTATATGTATATATGTATGTATATGTATATATTACATAACATATTTATATTGCAATTATTATTACTATCGTCGTTCTGATTGTTGTTATTGCTATTGTTATTGTTATTCTCATTGTTATTGTTGTTATATGTCATTATCATCATCATTATTGAAATTAGTGTTGTTGTTATTCGCTGATACTACTTGTTGATATGGTTTATTGATATACAATCTATTGATATTATCCATTGATATGTTCTACTGATATTATTTATTGACATGATTACCATCATGATTAGTATGTCCAACTATAATGAACATGCCAATAATCATTCCATGATTTCTCCCGTCACTATCTCCCAATCGATGGATCCAGTAAAACCATCATATTCCAACCGCCCGACCCCCAATTCATAGCAGCCAATGGGAATCCCACGCGTCCATAGCTATTGAAAATGGCCATTTACAGTTGCTTTTCCCATTCAAAATGGCGATTTGCCATAGTTATGTTAGTTTACCAGAGGGTAATATCACAAGGTAGTTGATTGGATATCACATCATCGATTTGAGATGCTGTTCCCAAATTGACCCCAACAAGTTGAGATATCATCCCGCATGGGATTAACAACGATCTTCCGGATACAAAACAATAATAAACCACAATTGCAGACTATCGCATTGAACTGTGTCCAACCTTAAACTGAACTATGTCTAGCTATTACAATCTTGATATGTGTTCACTATTTCAGACTACCATATCCAACCATTTTCGGAAGAGTTGAGCTCTGGAACATATTGGGCAGTGAGGTTGTTGTAATTTACTCTATCTTCATATTTTCCTATATATATCATATATCTTCATATTTTCCTGATCTATAGATCTATGTTCATACCACCATATATATGTTCATAACAAGAGATTTGCCCTCTGGTAATTTAACAGTTTGCCATTGAACATGGCCCAGTCGAAATAGTGAGTTTTCCCATTAATAGCATGGTGGATCTTTCCATAGTTATGTCAACGTTTACCAGATGGTAAACCTCCATTTTCCTATGGTTTTCCTATGGTTTTCCTATGGTTTATCAGAGATTTACCTCACCCGTCCCTGGCCGCTGAAAACTCATCGGTCGGTCCGTCCTTCTCCTCCGCTCCGGCGTCCTCCATGGCGGGCACCCGCCGGGGGCTCTGCCGCATGCGCTCGCCTCACGCGACGCGACCCACGACATGCCGAGGTGGGAGGAATTAGTTGATGGTTAGTTAATGGTCATTAATGATTTCAATGGGTTTCTAATGGGATTTAATGGGATTTTAAAGGGTTTCTATTGGGTTTCTAATGGGATTTTCGTGGTGAATTTTAATAATTACGGTTAGTTACCCTCTGGTAAATGATGGGTAATGGTCATTAATGACTTATGATTTATTAATAATTATGATTAATGGTTGATGGTGATTAATGAAACGACAAGTTGGAATCTTATGATGGTTAAATGGTGGTTAATGGTGATTTTCATGATTAGTTAGTGATTAGTTGATGATTAGTTAATGATTAGTTAATGATTAGCTGGTGATTAGTGATTAGGGTGTCATGATCGTTACTGTAAATGATAATTAAATGATGGTTGAATGATGAATCAATGATAGTTAAATGATGAATCAATGATGCTTAATGATAATTGATGGTTTAATCGTCATTAGTGGTTAGTTATATAATGGTTAGTTAATGGTGATGAATGATAATTCATAGTTCAATCTAGCTTCGAGGTCTAGGAACGATGATGAATGATGGGTGAATGGCTGAGTGAGAATCATCAGAGAATGTGAACTACCTAAACGACCTACCCTCTGGTAATGACTAACATAGCTATTGAAAATGGCCCATTTATAGTTGATTTTCCCATTAAAAATGGTGATTTTCTATAGTTATGTTAAATTACCAGAGGGTACCTCAAAATGGGTGAATCAATGGTACCTAGAATGGCTGAGTCCAAAAAGCTAGAAACTAGGATGGATTCTGACAGATGACATGGTGGTCATCCCATCAGATTCGATTTTTGAAGCCGCAGCTGAGTGGTGAAATAATTCAGGGCAAATTCAGACGTGAATTTCGGCCCCAAAGCGAGAACGGATGCAAATGATGGACTTAGACTTACCTTCAAGCTTACTGGTGCTTCGTTTTACGCAGGGAATGTTCGGGAATGATCCCAGTCATCACATTCGTAATGTCATCATCCCAGCAACCTCCAGCAACCCATCCAGCAACCCTACGTAAAACGCACCAGTAAGATGTGGAAAATCCAACATAAGAGAAGATCATTTCCGAAGTGACAAGTCCATGGTGGTTTTCCAGATCCTTTCGCAACCACAGTTCATGGGTTCATGGCGGAAACCCAAACCAATCATGCTGGTAGATATACAGTCATCGCGCATAAACTAACAGTTTGACCCTGAGAAGCGTCCATTTCCAAACAAAAGTAGTCTTTCAACCTCCTCTATTTGGTAGGGTCTAAATTAGTTGAAGGGAGGATACACCCTGCAAGTGGCCTATAATCAGCAATATGACATGGTTTGGGTTTAAATCCCATGGCCAATCTTGGATATCCTGTAAAAATAAGCTTCATTGTTCAGCCGGACATCAAAGATTCCTCCACCAAAGCATCCAACAACCCACTATATGTCACCCGACTCAAGCAAGGCTTCCTCAGATTCTTTGTATTTTGGGATGTTCTTGTTCACCTAATATCTAAGTGGGGCTGGTGCCGTTGCTTTGACAAATCTATATATATATATTCTATATGTCCAGCTTTGAGGTAAGTGAGCATTTGACCAGCATTTGAATGAACGATTTTGAGGGACCAAACCAACAAGAAAAAAATTGGTGTGTTGATCACATGTTCTTCTTCAACATCTTGCTTACCCTTCATCTATAAATACAGTTTTCTAGCTGGGAATAACCCCTTTTTCGTCCCGCCTGTGGCGAAGTTGTGATAGTACTTCACCTAGGAGCGATCCATCCAGAGAAATCCGGAACAATGATCCTCCCGTTGTGGGTCCTGGGTTATAAAAATGAATGCGGCTTTCTATGGTGAGTTAAACCTCCAGATGTTGAGATAGAACCGGTTATTAACCTCCAGATGTTGAGATAGAACCCCTGTAACCCTGTTTATTAACCTCCAGATGTTGAGATAGAACCCCTGTAACCCTGGTTATTAACCTCCAGATGTTGAGATAGAACCCCTGTAACCCTGGTTATTAACCTCCAGATGTTGAGATATAACCCCATATTATATATATATACAGCCTATAACATTGGTTATATTGCCGTTATTGATAGTGGAAATGCATCCCCAAGTATCGATGACTAAGCAGTGGATTTAAGGTTATAACCTCATTTTTGATCAGCGCTTAGCGGTACGATGGGGTGATGATGATGTTCACCCACCGAAAATCTGAAAAACATGTAAATTCTGGAAGTTCGCTTCAAAACTTCAGGCTTCCTCTGGCTTAAATAGTAACAATAGTAACAATAGATACAGTATATCTATAGCATTTTTTTTCTTCCTATGGTGGCTTTATCAATTTAAGCCATAAGCAAAAAGTACCCTCTGGTAATGTAACATAACTATGGAAGATCACCATTTTATAGCTGGGAAAATCCACTATAAATCACCACTTTCAATAGCAAACTGTCAGCCATTACCAGAGGGTATGAATTCTGGCAGATCATCCCAATGATTTCTCCCATTTAGCGACGATCCAATGGAGAAGTTCACTACCGATTCTAACTGGATGTACCCGGCCTGGTAAACGTTAACAAAAAACTATGGAAAATAACCATCTTTAATAGGCAAATCAACTATAATTGGGCAAATTTCTATAGCTATTTTGACATAACCAGAGGGTATCACTTGGAGTTGAGATGTGTTTCCAACATCCTCAAGAGAATTTTTCCACACGTCTCAGCACACGAAAAAACAAGCCAACAACTCACCAACAAAAAAAAAACGTCAGTCCAAAATCGCTAACCACCACAACAACCCATCAAAATGGAAATCAACAAATCATCCATTAGAAACCCATTCGAAAAAATCAAAAAATCCTCAGTCCAAAATCCACTGTCGACCATCAGAAGACCCATTCGAAAGCCATGGAAAATCCCCAAGATCCCTCCACCCTCCAAGGCACCCCTCGCGCATCGTAGAAGGGATGCCAATCCGTACTCAGCACCGACTCGTATGCTGCGTCGTCCAGCGCCGGGATGTCCTCGGGCCTTGGAAGCCACCGTGGATCATAGGAAATAAACGTGAAAAATGGAGGGAAATATAGGGAAAATATAGGGAAATATAGGGAAAATATAGGGAAATGTTGACTTCACCAAACAGAAATAGGGGATTTTAACATATTTTAACCAGGTACAATGGGGGATTTGACCAAAAATATGATGACGTTCGCCAAGAAAAATGATGACTTGACCAGCAGAAGTTGGAATTTTTACCAGCGAAAGTGGAATTGAAGCTACGCAATAGCATAAAAAATGATTTTAACCCACAAATCCCAGAGGATCCATGTATGGAATATTTACCTACATTGACCCCTAAAGTAATTTAAAATAATCCCAATGTAGGTAAATATTCCATACATGGATCCTTAGGGAATGTTGATCCTTAGGGAATGTTTGAACTTCACAAAGAAAAAGTAGTAGGATTTGACCAAATAGAATTGCATCAAGATCCAGTAGTTGGTGGTTTCGCCTGAAAAGTAGGTAAGAATCTTCCCATCAAACGGTGGGGAAAAAAACAAGGCAGCCATTTTGTAATATGTTATATGGTGCTTCGATGGGGCCCCCAAGATAGCTAAGTTACCTTATAAGTGGCTTTAAGTGGCTTTATGATAGATATAACTATAGTTAATAGGGGTTTTATCGGTTTATAAACCCACTTATAACTAGGGGGGCCCATCCTGTAGTTTGATGGATAATAGTGATTTTGGCCTTCAGGATCTCCGGCACAAGGAGGGATAGAGGGTGTCTGGTTTTTCGGAACAACAAAAGGATGGTGAAGGAAAATTCATTGGGAGCGCGTGGCCAAAAAGATTTGGACTGAAACGACAATAGTTTTTTATGACTGGTTCACTGAGTTCACCATGAAAAAATCCACATGAAACTCATAGTTTTTTATCAGTTGAATATCACCATAAAATCCCATTAGAATCCCATAAAATCACCATAAAATCCCATTAGAATCCCATAAAATCACCAAAAAAACCCATTAGAATCCCATTAAAACCCCATTTTTTACCAAGGGGATTGGGGCCCGCACTATTTTGCTGGGCCATACCAACGAAAAAAATGCTCCGGGATGAAATCCCAGGTGATCTACCCCTCCTGCAGACATCCTGCAGACATCCGAGACGCTGCACCGCGATCTTCTTCACGCGGGCCTTGGCAAACTCCGCATAGCGGTTGTACCTTGTGGGCGCTGCAGCTTGCACCCCAGGTTTCTGGGTGGTCGTGGGTCGTAGCCCTATGAAATACCGCAGCGATGCGTGGATATACATACATATATATATATACATATACATATACATACATATATATATTATTATATTATATATATTATATTATATATTATATATATATATTATATATATTATATATATATTATATATATAATATACATATATTATACATATACACATATATAGTCCGGTTACGTGTGGCTGATAAAATGTCATAAACCTCTTACAAACCCGGGATGCACAGAACACCCAAAAAAAAACGAAAAAAACAGTTGAAAATGACGTGATCTGCCCCAAAAGCGTTGATCGCCTAAGGGCGGATACTAAGCAAAGAAATTTATCCAACAAACCCTTGAAAGATCGACCGACAGAATCTGAAAGCTTGGCTCTGAACTGGATGGTCACTGGATGGTCTTCATGATTGGATTTCTTGTCGTCTTATCTTCCAGCCACTAGATTTGAGAGATGCCGAGAGATGTTGATGGATGTTAGTTGTCATCCTAATTTCCCTTCATCCGTGCGCTGCGCCCCCGCTCATTCTTCTCATTTTTTAAGTTTCAAACGCCTTACCTTGCCAGTTTAACATTATTAATAATTATCAATATTAATTAACCATCATTAACTATCATGTTAACCATCATTAATATTAACCATATTATTATCCATTAATAACCATCATGATTATCTGAACATCAGGACCTCATACCGGAACCTCACACCAGGACATCTAAGAAAATGTCAAAAGATCATCAAAGAAGGGCCTTCACCATCATTATTATCTGATGTTGGCTTTGTCCTAGGTCCTAACCCCTTAAGAGAAGCTCTCCACACCCCATTCTCCACCCGGTGACTGTTCCACATAGTTGATCCTCCGCGGCTGGTTTTCTTTCCCATCCAGCGGCAGCATCTTGATATGACCTCAGTGGGTCACCGGAAAATGACAAGGTCCGACAACGATGGAGAAAAATGTAGGGGAATTTTCATCAGAATGGGAAAATAATAGGGATTTTCCATCAAAAGACAACGATTCATGGGTTACTCAGTCCAAGAAAATCTCAGTGACGAAAATCTGAAAGCGATCTGTGAAAATCTGAAATTTCATGGTTTTTTATACATGGAACAGTTGGAAGAAAAACATGCTTCGATCGCACCCAAAATCCAATGGCTCATCCACCCTGTGTCACTGGGCCATGCCTCTTTGAGGTATGGAATTCCTGTCTACATGGAAGCAGGTTCAGCAGAGATGTTCCACTGCCAAAAAGATGCAGCAAAAAGGACTGTGTTACCCACACTTCCACCAACAGAAAGCAATGTTTCATCACTTTGATCCCCAGATGCAGACAATGAAAATTACCCTCTGGTAAACTAACGTAACTATGGAAAATCACCATTTTTAATGGGAAAATCCACTATAAATGGTCATTTTCAATAGCTATGTTAAATTACCAGAGGGTAATGACCCATGTTGCCCTTGTCCTCGGGTCCGACGCATTGCTACGGATCAAAACTCTGGTACTGCGTTGAAATCCCCCAGCGTTGCTCGTTCTAGCTCCATGTCTGATAGTAAAAAGAAACATGCTTGAGAGCTAAATCCCACTTGTTCATAGTTAAGCCACATCTTTGCATACTTAAACCATATTTGGAGCTTTCCTGAAATGGGGGGGGAATGGGGGGTACCTCCAAATCACTTGATGTTCGGATTTTCCATGAAATCATCCAGCTTTTGCTTGGGGTATCTCCATGAAAACCCCACCATTTTCCTGGCCGCTTAAAGTGCCTCGATCGATCCCCATCAGCACCAAGTTGCTCAATGCATAGCACTTGTGGCACAAGGACTTGTCGGTAAAAGTGCAATGAATCCTGGAAAGTTGGATAAGTGAAATGCAAATGACATCGGGATGCACTCTGCATGATGCGCCAAAGCGACGTGCTACGGGGGTGCTGTTCATGCTTGGAAGATTTACCATCTAGTTATTTAACATAGCCATGGAAAATCACCATTTTTTTATATTTTTTTATAGGTAAATCATCTATAAATGGGCCATTTTCCATGGCATGTTAAATTACCAGAGGGTATCAACGAAGGGATCAGCATAGCATCCAAGCATCGCAGAAAACTGGTTGTGTTTTTGTTGCATCGAATAACATGTGCAAACTGTCGTTTCATGAATTTTGTAACGCCGGAGCAATCTAGAATGACCTATCGGGACCATATCCCTTGAAAGCGAACCAGGTAGCAATCATGGCCCATGTTTCCAACAAACCCCCATGGCTCATCGATGTGATCCCTCCCCCTAATACTAAACACCTCCAGAACCAATGGTCTAGCATTTTAGTATTACTTGGGTCTAATCCAAATGTTGTTGACTAAATTCAATCATCTAATTTCAAATACACCCCAGAACCCCTGGAGTTCTGTATTGGATCTCAACATTTCTGGAGGTACTTAAGACTCCCATTATCTTCCCATAAAAGATTCCCATCTATTGTTGGTAAATCTCCAAATTTATCTACTATTTATATCTATTTATATCTTTGCTTACCCTTGAGATTCGACTCCAGTTTAGATTCCGTTTTTTTTCCCCGATTTTTTAATCATCGTGTTGGTTCTATATCCCATTCATCCATCATATCCCCAAATCCAACCCCCCATTTTTAAAAAATCTCATCGTTCATGGTTCAATCCCCATTAAAATCTCACTAAAAATCCAGCGAAAAATCCCTCGTGTTGATCCTAAAAAATCCCATGAACTCCCCTTGTTTTAGGGTAAAATCACCATTTTCCCACGAAAAAATCCCCATGAAATCCCTATGAAATCCATCCCGATGCCCACACCCAGCGTCTTCGCCGGCAGCTGTACGCACAGGGCGCATGGGACTAAGCAGAAGGGCGCATGGTCTTTGCGCGAGCCTCCGGAGGCGAAAAAAAACGGGGCCAAGCCAATGGGGAACTGAGATTTCACGGAGAAAATTGTGGATGAAACCAAGACATATCGGATTTAACCAGCCAAAAATGTGGATTTTTCACCGTAACCAACCAAAATGTTGATGATTATGGATTCACAATTGATTTCTCGCTTTGTAGCCAACTGATACAGCTTTGTTGATCTTTGTTGATGGGATGCTGTTTTTTAACCAGCAATCTGGGAGGCAGTGGACTGATGGGGGTACAGGGTTTCAGTCCATGGAACCAGATGTTAGGAGAACTACTGATAGGGTGACGTTTTGTAACTCAAATTTGAGCACAAAAATCCCAGAGGAAATGGCCTGAGATAAACTGTCCGGAAAAAAACCGATGAGGGTAAGGGATTTCACCGTTCACCAACATATGCTTCTGTAGGCGGTCAAGAACTTGTACGAAACTATGCCCAATTTCCCTCCCTCAAACACGCATCAGAAATGGCGATATTTCAGAAGCAAAAAGGAATGATCTCAGCAGTGAAATTACCAGATCGTGACAAAAAGTGTCCCAAAAAAAGATCCAAAAGTGTTGAAGTGTTTCCATCATGGTATAATTAATTAATTAGATGGAATATTTACATCGTGTTTCCAGCTTTGCAAGGTAATTGAACACCAAAATAGATTGAACATACCAAATAGATCAATGGATTGGTTTAAGGGAAAATCTACAGGAAACCATGGTTTTTACCATCAAATATAGGGGTTTCCTGTAAATTTTCCCATCATCCAATTCTATGAATAGATTGTTTGCAGGGTTTCCTGAACTATCATGGTTTCTCCCACAACTTGACCCTACGGCAACGCCGAATCCTCTTGGATGTGCACGACCCAAAAATCCTAAGTGGTTTAGAACCCATAGACATTACTGGTATATATATATATATATACACACTCATATAAATATAATTATATATATATAACTAGGGATATTCCATGAATCTAATTGGGGTAGTTCAAGTTCCTACCCACACCTATGCCTGGCCCCGAACAAACGCGCTCATCCCACCTTTGCCATGCAGCTCCGCGTAGCATTTCAAGCACAAGTAATCCTGTCGGTGAGAGCACAGGACGGGTGCACCGCCCTTTTAGCTAACTAAAAATAACGGAATTTGAGTTGGAACTTGCCAAGATGTTGGAAAACTATCCAAAATTCATATAGAACTTGAAAAGGAATGGAAAACTCAAATTTAACATAGAACCTGGAAAAATGTCTGAAAACTATCTAAAATTCACATGGAAGTTGAAAAAAAAAATCATCCAAAATTATCATGGGCCTAGAAAAATGAGAAATTGATCTAAAGTTACTGTAACATGAGAACCTTGAATGCTGACCCCAATACTCTAAGTCGTTTTCGTTGGATTATACCCCAATTTACTGCAACTTCAAAGAGGAAGATGAACCATCAAATTGGAGTACCCTCTGCCAAACTAACAGGTTGCTATGGAAAATCACCCACAGAGGGTACAGCAATATGTGCATCTCCCTCCTCCGGTCCTGTAGGTTTCGACTCAAATTACCAAATTTGGACATGATGATGAAGAATACCTCGAGTTTTCATGGTAATATCCTTGGCATACCCAAAAAGCAAATCAACATATCTATGGAAAATCCAGCATTTCTAGATGGTTTTGCAGGTGATCTATCCTATTCGGACACGGCGGTGCTGGAAAAACCCCCAGTTCGTTCCATGATTTTCCGAAGGAAACTGCCATTCGTTCGCCATGTTTGAGGACATCAAGAGGCTATCAATTCCTAAGCATGTTTAATCACTAGATATTCCCATATATACCCCATTACATCCCCATTACATCACCATTTGTTCATGGTTAAACTATTAGTGACACTGGAAAAATCTCCATCTTTGGGCCCAGCCTTGCATTCCAGGCAAAAACTCAACGCCACGATCTTGCCTTGGAGCCACGCATCAAGATGTTGGCTCGTTTTCGATCCGCGAAACGGATTTTTGGCCATTGCTGGTAAAATCTGATGGTTTTTCTGCTGGGTTTCTGCTAATTTTCTGGTATACCTTCTAATGATTTCACATAGCTATGGAACATCACCAATTTTTTATAGGTAAATCATCGCACTAAATGGGCCATTTTCCATAGCTATGTTAAATTACTGGATTGCAGTACTCTGCTTAAAACTGGCAACATTGCTTTTCTGATACAGTATTTTGGATTGCCAAGCACAAATGTAACTGGGAAATATCTCCCCAGTTCACGGTGAGGTTAGCTTTTCTCTTGGCTCGCACACTCTTCCGATGGCATCAAAGGGGTGGTTTTTACGCCCATTTTCAGGGTTGCTCCCAACACCCCAGACAGAAAGGGGGTAAATTGGATGGACAAAAAGGCAATTATATAATCTAATCACCAGTTTTTCCCCTTGTGTTTGTTATTTCCCAAGAAAATGTGTTGCTGAGCACCCCCGATGATTTTTGCTAAAAAATCCTGGACCTGTGAATCCTGTGACTGACCTGTCCAAGCTGTTTAAGGGCCCAAGGTGCAGTTCACACAGAACATTTCGCCTGCAGCCAGCTTGTTGAGATCAAACTTCACATCATCCTTGACCTTCCAGGACCCAAGGCTGGTAAAAATTCCTACAAGCGCCTACAAGCGCTTCATCCTGCGGTGGTGCCCCACAGTGAATGTGCTTTGTAAACTCCATTCATGAACTATTGAACTATAGATATCTCTGCCAAAAACCCTAGTGAAATTGGAGTTACAAAGCAACTTAGCTATGAAAAATTGATAAATCTCATCGAAAATAATCCGCCAGGTGAAATCGTGAAGTCCCAACGTTGCCTTGAATCCCGATGCTGACAATCCACATCTCTGCGATTTGAGTCTCCACTTCTTCGTTGGTTTTCACATCTCTTCCCAATGACTTTGGTGGCAAAATGCCCATTTCGTTGGAGTGAAAAATCATCATTGTTCAGGGTCAAACTTCCAATCTCCAAGTATTTTAACCATGGTTTCTCCATGTTTTCCTCTCCAAAAACACCAACTGTCTCCATGACTCCATGACCGGAGTCACCAATCGAAATCGCAGCATAAACCGCACCTCGGAGGACCAGTGCGTCACCATTTCGCTGTACTTGGCCACGTCGCGCTGCAACATCTCGTGGCACGCGTCGATCAGCGCCACGTCCTAAGCAGCAACCGATTGGACGAGGTGTCCGTAGTAGATCTTCCAATGAGCGACATGGTTTAATGGTTTAATGATGGGTAAATGATGGTCTAATGATGGTCTAATGATGGGTAAATGATGGGTAAATGATGGGATTTCATGATGGATTTCATGATTGGATGTCACTAATATGGTCTTTCTCAATGATAGTGATGGATTTAATGATGGAAATTCACGAAAAAATTAGATCATCCCACGATGGATTGATTTTCGTGGTGTTTACTACCCGGTGAACCAAGTGTACCAAGTCTTGGTGACCCCGAGTCCTAGGGTTATCACATTTATAAGTGGCGAACATAGCCCCGCTTACTAACCACTTACCCTCCGGTCATCCATCGAAAAATGCGAAAAATGTCACTGACTTGGAGCAAAAATGGGATGTTCAACCAATGAATTGGAAAAATCTTAAACGGAAACTATTGGTTTTACCATCAAATACAGAGGGGTCCTCGAGTTTTTCGCAGCACAACCGATCCAATGAGCGACAAACTTCGGCGACTTTTCGCTGAAAAGATGTGGGAAATTCTGTGGAAAATGGTGACCATCCCCCATGAAGGGTGGGATTGGGTAACCCCAATTCAACTATCAATCTGAAAAATGTATATATATATATATTGCTTTTTTTGACGGTGTGATATGGGATGTATATAAAAGACATTGCCAAAAACATGATTTATATTGATTTATATAATGAGCAACAAATGATTACAATCCGATGATTACATCAATATAGATGGATATAGATGGTTATATTTGTACATATGGTTTTTTGTTCTGGATGGTTTTTTCTTTGAAACACCAATCATGCTCTGGGGATATGAGAGGGATATAACCAACAGTATGATTTGCAACCGGATAAAAAGAAATTCAGTTTTCAGATAATGATTCAGATGTCTAAGCTCAATATCATGTTTATTGTCCCAACATGGCAGCAGCACCCAAAGTTTGTATATCATATATATATATATATCTATATATTTATATAATCACTATAGTTATTGGAGTTATTAACCATACGTAGTTAATAGATTGGTTTATAAACCATAGTAATTTTTTATTATCTATATATACCTTCCGGTAATCAAACATTGCAATTGAAAATCCACCATGTAGTTCGATGATTTTCCCGTTCAAAGCTCCATTTGAAATCCAGCGGCATTTCGCCAGTATCTCATTGGGGATTTGCCAGTGTCATGTTAGATTGCCAAAACAATCAGAATGTTAAATGCATTTTTGATGTCCAGAAAAAATCCCAAGTACCATGATATTAGCCATATAGTACCATTATTACCCATATATATATATAGTAGGTTTTATTCCTGGGGGATAGAAAGCCATCATTTTGGGGAGATGTCCATCCCCAGGTTTTCGTTGGATGAATCCCGTGGCCATTCGAACCCAAGAGGCAATGTCTTGCTTGCTACGATAGGCCTTCGCAAAGGCCTTCAACTGTGCCTGAACCGCAGAACAAAACACGCCGAAGAAATAAAGGTGGTGAAATATATGGAAATATGCTGTGAAAGTAGTGGTTACAATGGTTACAGTAGTAGTTGAGCAATGTGAAAAACTCATCCCTCATTCCATTAAAAAAAAAAAACCTGGTTTTTCTAAGGATTGATTATTGAAAACCCCAACATATTGGGTAGTATAATCCCCAAAGTAATCATGAATCAAGATACTGTTTGGAGGATCACCCAGTGGGCAAACCCATCTGTAAATGGGTGAACGAACTATGGTAATTAACCACTGACTAAGTGGGATGACTATTTTTGAAGTGGGAATATCGTGAGATTTCAACTGAACATATTGGTTCACCACACTTAGCACATAGGTATATAAATCTGGGTACCTGCAAGATGGTGCCCCAGGGAGCTGTTCACGCTAAGTTGATGCAAATAACTCCAATAACTATAGTTTATAGTAGATAAATCTATACTTACTATGGTTTATAAACCAACTTATAACTGGGGGAGCAGCACCTGGTGGAAACGTAAGCTTGAGTCCAGTCATAACAGGGGGCAAATTCCACTTCCGTTTCCTAACTGGACCAAGTGAGCCATGACCATGGGATGATGGGTTTATAACCTGGGATGATAATTGTACACAGTGGTGTATAGCCACCGAGACAAAATGCCGAAGGGTTGGGATGGAAATTCTGGGGAAAACCTCATTTATACCCTCGAAATACTTGTCTATAGGGTTACTATACCCCTAAATTTCTTGGTTGATGATCATTTTCCCATATTTGAAGGCCATAACTAGTTTTGTGTACTAACCATTTTCGGACCCATGTGGACTTCCAAGCAACAAAAAAGTGGATTTGTCCCACAACAATGAGGATTTTGACCTAGAAATGTAGGTGATGTGAGGATCTAACACAGAAAAGAGCTGATTTAACCAAAAAATGATGAGTTAATCAAAAAGAATATGAGAAACTAGACAACAATGTGCATTTAACCAGTATAACTATATGTGAATCTAAGTCAAAAGTTTATTTCGGTGCTTCGAAAAACCGTTGGTGAAACCAATTTTGTGTCATGTCGAACAAGCAAAGTGTACATGGAACATGAAGCAAACGGTGGATTGGGTTTGTCTGAAAATGGGGTGTCCCTACAATCCATGGTTTAAAGGTGCGTGTGCCTTTTATTTTCTTATGACCCTATTATTTGTTTATGATTAGTTTAAGTTACATCACCCAAAACTCTCATTGCCCATCAATGCACTCCCTTCCCCTTAGTCTTCAACACCCCCAAGAACCCTTATATAATTGGTGCTTACGTAGTATTGGGTCCCAAATGCCAATATTACTATCTATCACAGTAGATCCCTTGGTATCAAACATGTCTGGTCTTGGATCTTACATGGTAAACCCAATGATAAACCATCCCAAAGTTATGAAAATTGGTGGGATTTCATCCATCATCTCTACAAATTTGGCCCCAAAAACAGTGGTGGGGAAAGTTATGAAAAAAAAATGCTTGGCTTCAAATACGGTATATATTGATGGCGAAAGTGCACATCATATTGAGGTAAACAATAGCTCCATCCTATGGAGGGCCCATAGTTCAGCACAAAGGCTGTAGCCTGTAGCTGCATCGCCTCTTCCTCCTTTGAGCTTGTCCTGGGCTTTTTTACCTTCATGTTTAGTCTTAACAGTCTACCTTTAGAGATATGAATAACTACTTGTCATTAGGGATATTCCAAAAAAGTGTATATTTATATTGACATGCCAGGGTTAATTAATTTTGGCATCCAATTTTCGATCGAAATCTCACCTGTCTTGACCCGGCCTTGCAATTCCTCACCACGCAGCCTGGAGGTGATCAACCAGAAATGTATGACTTGAGTAAAAAATATCCAAAAACCTTTTGCCAAATGATGATTTACAGCGTATTATATCCTCTAGATCATATTTGCTTAAGAAGTTTGCTTGCAAACACCTGGCAACGGGACTACAAAACAACTTTTGAATGAGGGCCTAATGTCCAGATCACGACGCCTCAACAAGATGTTGATATCAGGGTTCATAAGTTATCAAAACCACAATATACATCTGTAGTCACGTTAAAAACATCTGATTTCTGGTAGAATCCCTTTGGATATGCTGGTATAGACGGTATAGACGTTAACCTTTTCCAAAGGACACTGGACAGAGCAAGGGTAAGTCAGAATTATTTCTAGCGGCACTGATCAAAAATATCATGAAATCAGAATTGGTGTGCGGCCTGTTGAAGAAGCTCATACCAAGAAGTGTGGTGAGATCTGAAAAAAGAGACAGCTCGGCTGGTGATTCCAATCAAACGTGGCTGGATGATCTCACTCAATGGAGATGAGTTTTTCTGGGAAAGTTATCACTGGTAAATTTGTCCAGCCATGTTTGATGACACGTGGTACATGTACGGTACATCCCAAAAACATGCCGAAAAGTGTCTCCAGGGTGCTAGTTCCATTGATGTTCGATGATATAAAAACTTCATATTTCCACGTTCCGAAGTATGGCCACTATTTCGGGCTTGCTATAATATGAAACTACTCATGTTTCAGGAACAGGTGGTCGAATGGCAGAATGGCCACAGAGAAGGGTCTGATGTCAGATCTTTAGACCTCAAAAACGTATGGATTTGTCCCAAAATTAGCTATACCCTCTGGAAATTTGTTACATAGCTATTGAAAATGGCCCAGTCGAAATAGTGAGTTGTCCCATTAAAAATGGTGATTTTCCCATCAGTTTTTTGTTAACGTTTACCAGGCCGGGTACCTCCGAAATTCCATGGTGATGTTGTTCTTTATAAAAATGGCCATCGGTAAATCCACCATTTTCACCGTACGTTGTTCTGGTCCACAGTTCGGTAAAGGCTTACGAAATGCACTAAGAGTCGAGTTGCCATGGAAAATCACCATGGTTTCATAGTGTGGATGGAATAAGTCCTGGACCAGTTGATAGGTGGTAAACATCCCATTATTTGTATTTATTTGTAGTGTTTCAACCATCCAAGATGGTGTCCACAGGTAAATCATTGAACTAGATGGATGTGGGTCAAAATGGAAGACCTAGGGGACCACAAATGTTAGTCTAGTTTAGTATTAACCATTCAATTATTGGGGTACCTAATTTTGACCCATACCCAGATGTTCCATTTTCCATGGCAAACTGTTACCAGACGGTATCCCAATTCCCTCCACCACTTTTGATCCCACAGAGTGGGAAAAGGTCCCCTCTCAGTACTGGACTTCACCGGAGGAAAAATCCCCATGGATATCCCTAGTAACAAAACCCGTGGATTTGTGAAATAGCTTCAGTTACCCTCTGGTAATTTTTCACGTAGCTAGAAAGCACATCACCATGTTTAATAAATCGAACCGAACTAAATGAACCATTTATACCATAGCAAACTGTTAAATGACGAGAGGGTACTCAACACTTGCAAAGTAATTGATCCTCGAAGTACTAACAGATGCACCCCTATTATATCCAATGAAATATCCCATGAAATATCCCAATCTCCATTGTTATTGGTTAAACCCAGCGTTTGTGCCAGTTAACAAACAGGATATCCCAGTATCTGTCCATTAAATACCATCAAATCCCATGAAAAATGCCATATAAAAAAAAAAAAAACGTAAAAATGGCCAGACCAGATTCATGTTGGTTGCTTTGCCACCATGAAATCCCAGTCCCATACATTAACAGACATTGTTCTTGGTGAAACCCATCATCAAATCCCATGAAAAATCTCATACATTCCATACAAATCCTGTAAAAATGACCAGACCATATCCTCTGGTGATTTAACATTGCTATTGAAAATGGCACATAGAAATAGTTGATTTACCGAACTTAAAAATGGTGTCCATAGCTGACTGTTAGTTTACCAGAGGGTAAATGGTGGGTTTAACGGGAAACATCCTCGAACGAAATGGGCAATTTCTCCAACCAGGCCGTGTTTTTTCACCAATTGAGGCAACATTTCAATGTCCCAAAAAAAGATCAACCCGAAGTCCCAGTATCTTTCCATTCTATAAATACCATCAAATCTGAAAAATGCCATAAAGTCCATCCTGTAAAAATTAGGCCAGACCAGATCTGGGCGCCATGGCGGTTTTTTCCGTGCTCGCCTTGAGTCTTGACATCAAAGCCAAAGATATCTGCCATTCGGGCCACGTAGGAGGGAGAGATCAAGGGATCCTGGGCGGCCGGGATCCCCAGGTTTTACCCATGGTTTTACCCGAGAAAAATGGCGGTTTAACCGACCAAAATGGTGGTTTAACCATGAAAAATGGCGATTTTTTATGGGAATTTCGGAAGCCACAGAAATGGTGATCCAACAGGGGATTTTTGATGGGCATAGAGCTGGAGAGAATGGGAGATTCATACGTCCTTATTATGATTTGGCTCGACCTAGGAAGGGGTTAACTGGGGGGTTGGCTGAATCCTCATAAATCCTAGATCCCTATGAAAATAGATTGATCACCAGTTTTTTCTCTCATCCAACTTTTGCTTTTTGTCATTCCCAAGTTTAATGCATAGTAGACCCTAGACCCTACTCAATGACCAGCGGGATGAATTATAATTAATTCTCCAACCAGACTCATGGCAGATGACAACACCCCTAGCTTCATCCTATCGGCACTCTACAGCGTCCTTGGAGTTCTTGTTTTACAGTCCTGGCTGAGTTATAGTAATTCACCAACCTGAAAATGTTGGGACATTTGGGGATGATTCCCCTAAGCATATTCTATCTATCGTGAGGTCGCAGTGACGTGGTGATCAAAGACGGCCAGAGTTAACCAGCTCCTTTTTGATCGCTGGGAAGTCGCTACAAAAAAATGTCGACTTTTTCTAGGGTAAGATGTTACTTGGTGGCAAGTCGGAATCGTAAATTGCTCAGCTGATCCCAATTTAGCTGAGGGGAAGTAGGATGATCATCCTGTGAAAACTGGGGTGAACTAGCAAAAAGGAGCTGGGAGTCACCAACCAACCAACATCATGAAAGTTAGGATTCACCAAGGATTTGACATGATTTAACCACTAGGGCCTTGTGACTTTTCGTCGAACTTCATAGGATCAGAAAGCATCCCACGCGTGGTACCATCCTGTAAACGTTTATATAGATGTGGAGTTTAACCCACCATGAATATAGATCATTTTCCGAACCAAAACCATGGGTGTTCCATCATTTTCCCAGGAAAAGCATAGTTTTTCCACCATTTTCCTAGAAAAAACATCGCTTTTCCACCATTTTCCTAGAAACAACCATGGATTTTCCATCATTTTCCTAGAAAAACCCAGGTTTTCCACATTTTCCACGGGCAAATTCCCACCTTTTCTCTCGGCCAAAACGACCAAGGCGCGTGGTCATGTTCCGCCTCGATCCGAGTGGCCTCGTAACTCCACAGCAAACGGTTGCAGCGCACCTGACGTCACATGGCACATGGGGGGATCTCAGGAAACCTCCATATATGTATTATATTATATTATGTGTATATTATGTTATGTTATGTTATATATATATATCATGTTATATTATATTATATGATATTATATTGTATTATACTACATTAAATTATGCTATTCTACTTTATATTATGTTTATATTATATTAGATTATACTATATTACATAATTCATATAAAACTATATTATATAATATTATACTATTAACATATATTGTATTATGTTATATCATATCATATTATATCATACTATATCATAATATATTATATTATATTATATTGTGTTATATTATATTATATTAGATATATATATATATCATATGTACCTACACACATTTATATATACATATATAGTATATCTATAATAGTGATAAGACTAGCTAGGTAATATTGACTATTTCCGATTCATCACAGAGCTATTTTAGTCGTGGGAAAGTAACATCATGGGTCAATCGGAATCCCTCATTACCATTTGTGACGTCACTAATTCATTTAACGATAACTTAATGATAACAAACTAATGTTACTGTTACTGATGTAACTAACCAATGTTAGTAAATGTTAGTTAAACAATGGTAGACCAATAAAAGGTAGACCAATGATTACTAATGTACTAATAAATGGTAAACGGATGTTAGTTATTTGATAGACAACTAATGATGTTACTGATAGAACTAACCATTTTACTTATTAACGATAAAGTTAGTTAAACAACTAAACATATCACTAAACTATTTATCAATAACTATATCATGATCATTAGTGATATCACTAACATATCACTAATATCATTTAATAGTTCTCCACTTGATATACTTGATGACCATTAGTTATATAATGATGTGATATCTAATACCATTCATGACCATTAGTGATAAGGATATACTTGTAATTAATCTGACCCATTTTATCTAAAATATCACATCCAGCAGGTTTTGCAGATTTTCCCATTGTGCCATGGTCAAAACTTGGATGAGATCAGCCTGCCCTTTTTGTTGGGAGCTCGTCATCAATCCATGTTTTTCAGGATTCGCATTCTGGGATGATCCAAGCACGCGCTGAAATATTGGGTGTCTGAAAATGATGCTATAGCACCAAAATAGCCACCAGTTGAAACTATGATAACTATGACAACTTGTGGTTTAAGCAGCAAAACTTGCTGAGGACTGGGAATTTCAGCACCATGGAGGGGATATGATTTCAACAAGATGTTTGGGTGCCAAGCAAAATGCGGTTAAACGGTTAAACCATGGGGATCTCATGAGATACAACCTTGGGGTCAATGGTGATTCAAGCATTCAAAATGAGGACTTTCTTACTGGGATACAGACATTGATGGCTTCACCCACAACAAAACCTGGCTTCAGCACCTCTTTGAGGGGATATGTTCACCATTCCCATGGGATTGTCTTTTTCCAAAGATGAGAAAGAACTGGGGATGGATCAGTCGTCACATCTGTCACCATACCCAGCTAAGATGTTCTTTATGGATCAATCCATCTGTGGGATATCCGGGGATCTTCTTCCCCTTGAAATCAGCCATTGTATCTGGTATTGATTCATAGCCATAGCTGGGTTTGGGGCATTTGGGTTTGATGGGGCTTAAACCTCTTAGCATGGGGAGTGCATGGGATATTGATGGGGGTATGATTCGGATACCAATATGAGGCTAGTAAACAGAATGAGGATACACGAGGCGAGGACTGCGAGGACCCCCAGTTTTTGGGGTGAGTTTGTAAACCCATTTGACTTGTTCGTTACATCTCCTACCCTCTGGTAAACTAACATCACTATCGAAAATCACCATGTTTTTATGGGTAAATAAACTAATTATCTAATTTATGGCCATTTTCAAGAGCAAACTGTTAGTTTACCGGGTTACCAGGGGTAATCAACCCAACAATTCACCATATGTCAACCTGTCGCGATGATGATTCGGCCGGAAACCTCACCAAAAGTCGTTGGCTTTCATCGGAGATGTTGATGCGATTCACAGGATATTGTATCGCATGTGACCGATAAAATGATTGATTAAGAAAACATAAGAAAACAATCATAAAGCCACATAATGTGATGTAATGGTATGTCATACCCAAGAATATTATACGTACTTGGAGATATTTGGATGTTATCATGGCGGGAGTTTTCCATTGGGAAAATAAACCATTCATCACCAAATGAACAGTTAGCCAATGCCCCATATCAACCATATTTCCAACATCTTCAACCTTTCGCTAAAATCATTTTTTCTGGAAAAAATCATCCAGATTAATCCATGTTTCAGAATCCCCCCACTTTTTTACGTTACCGTTACCTAAGCGTTACCGTTCACCAACACGTTTCAGACCTCTCTCTCTCCATCAGCGTCAGTTCGGACCTGCATCACCTCTTGGCTGGAGGCTTGGCGACAGAAATCCCGCAGCTGGCGAAAGTAGTCGTAGAAGGGATGCTTCCAGGTGACCTGCACGCTGTGTTTTTTGGCTCGGCCAATCGCTGCCCGGAAAAACGCCTTTTTTTTGGGATGGGAAAATGTGAGATATGGTGGAGATTTTTTGGGAAAATATGGTGGAGATGATTTCAGCAAGGTTCCCATTTGTCAGTCGATATCACGGAGGATGATCCTATCAACCAATGGACAAAAGGACATCTGGCTGGTTGACGAGCGAAAAAAAAATCAGGCTTGAAACCACCAGCAAAAATCCACCCAGTGAATAGTGGAAAATTCCACACGGTTTGCCTATTGTCCATATCTATTTAAAAATGGATTTGGCGGTGAGGCCTTAGTATTTGGGATCGGAAACTATAGGAACATCATGGGAAAATGTATCCTAAAATGATGATTTCACCTGGCCAAAAATTCGAGATTGATGGATTTATAGTTGATTGATGATAGCTAAGTTGACATATAGCTTGGTTAACTAGGGTTTATGTGGGATATAAGGAACTAGATAATGGGTGTGTGACCTAACTCACAACTGGGGAGGCCTCACCTTGTGGTTTTTCATAGCTCTGGGAAGATCACCTGGATGATTTTTGGGGATGTATCTAGCATCCCATGAAATACGGGTGGTTGGTTTTGTGAATGCTTTCCCGTAAAATAATTAAAAAAAACTACAAATGACTGGTAAAAAAAAGATACGAGTATCTGGGAAAATTATCATACTTCACTAACCTGACATGTTTTTCGTCATTTGGTGATGATTCCCCTTCTTAACATGTAAACAAACCATGTATCCAGAATCTGATCTGAAAATATCGACCATGGTCAGTAAGCCCCCAGGCCATGTAGGTAGGCCTCCACCAACTCAGTAGGTCCATTGGGTTGATGATCAGGAATGGCCTAGTTTTCCAACTTCTTTCCAGTGAAACTAAAGCAACAAACATTTCACGAAATGGGGCTACCGGATGAAATAATGATTCAGGGGCTACTCGGCCGTGTGGTGGATTCGCTCTGCTTCTGGATGAGAGCTACTATGAGGTACTCTATTTTCCATCATATGTTCTAATCCTATGTAAAATGCCCCTGCCCAGAAGCTTTGGTGGATGCACCTCGTGCTAGCTTGGTCCAAGACTGGAGTTGTTGGCCCAAAAAAAAGGTCATGTTGATCCGGAAAATGATCATGTCAACTCTCAAAGTTCTTGGTCTCCCCGGAAAAATCACCATTTTCCGGTGAAATCACCATTTTTGGGGCCAAAACCCCTGAAAATCCTTGAAACATCGCCATGAAATCATCCATGTTCCCCGTGATCTACCAACAACTAGGTCAACGTTCCGGCCCACCTGGCCCGTGTCGGAACGCAGGTAGCACACGATGCTACCAATGCCCTGGCGGCGAGTTGCCCGTGAGTTCCCCACGGGTTCCCATTAAGCTATCAACCCAAACGTTAACCAATAACCACAACTAAATATATGATGACTGGTTGGTGCTTTTAACCATCTTGAAAATATTTAACCATCCATATATTATGAAAATGTTTGAAACCACCAACCAGATGATGTGCCCCCAAATCCCAAACGTTAACCAACTTGCAAGTCAACTGATAGAAACCATCTAGGGAACCTCACCCTAAAGGTAGTGTTTCATCGGGATTTTACGATTTTACAAAGAAAATCGTGATTGAACCATAGGAAAATCGTGACTTTTGATGGGATTTAGACTAGAGCAACCCAATTTTTTTCATGGCCATGACTGCAATGACACTCCCCAAAAATAACAGTTTGACCCTGAAAATAGCCCATGTTTAGTCGAATCTTCCAAACCCCTATTTGGCTGGGTGGCTGCTAATTTTGGGGATGATAATATAATTAGAGTAACCTCAAGAAGATGCCGAAAGGTTCAACTCAACACTGTAAAAAAGGTAGGAATAATTACTTGTTGGAATCTTTTTGGGATTGCAACATATATAAATATATATATATATATTATATAGATATAGATATATAGATATATAGATATATAGATATATAGATATATAGATATGTAGATATGTAGATATATAGATATATAGATATATAGATATATAGATATATAGATATATAGATATATAGATATATATCTATATAGATATATAGATATATAGATATATAGATATAGATATAGATGTGTGTATATATATATAGTTGGCTCCTGGAATCATCTTGCATGGAATTCCCTGCATAATTTCGGTGTATCAATCCCCAGCAATGGTGCGTTGACCATCGCCCATGGGAAAATCAGCCATGCTACGACTGGTGGATCTACTGCAATGGAAGAATACCACGTGAGGAGCCCTCACTTGTAAGTTGGTTACGTAACCAAAACCATAGGAATAGTATAGATAAATCATGATATATCTACCATAAACATCCAGAAACATCCATAAACATCCATAAACATCCATAAACATCCATAAACGTCCATAAACATCCATTACCTCGTTATATCTCCAAAATCAACCAAACCTTCACCGGTTGTTTTCACCGTCAACTTGGCGATTTCATGGGGCCCTTGTTAAGGACCAGTCAATCTGCAGGTGTTTCTGGATCCTCACCATATTCCAGGGATTCCAGCGAAATGGGAAAAAATAGCATTGTTGTTGGTCAAAGCAAAAAAAAACCTTCCAATTTTATCCCATGGTTGCTGAAAATCACCTCCCCAAAGTGCTCAAAGTTCCATTTCTGGCGCTTGAAATCTGTCAGATTCCTTCAGATTCCATTTCTCAGCCCCATGAGAGTTCCACTTCCAGCGCTTGACATTACACTTTCTGGCTATTCATCAATTCCCAACCAGGGATGGTCATCGATGAAACGGGTCGCAAAAAGGGTCGCCAAGAGGGTCGCATTTGGGATTTTTCTGAGTATAGCTATGGCAACGCCGCAGATATCCTAGTTATAGCTATACATGATCCATGGTTATATCCTAAACATTATTTCCATGTAATTTCCGTATTTACCCTCTGGTGAACTAACATAGCAATGGAAAATCACCATTTTTAATGGGAAAACTCACTATTTCAATGGCCATGTTCAATTGCTATGTTAGTTCACCAGAGGGTAACAATTTTTCGAAAGTCGACACCATGAGCTCCATGAGTTGGAACATAACCTCTACGTCTGTTGTTTTCCATGGATGTTTCCCCTAAATGGCAGTATTGTTTTCATCCATCTTGTTTTCAAATGTTCCATCATAAACCAATTAAACCATCCAGCTAATAAAAAATTGGGGTATATCCCCACTTAACTTTGGCATTCCCCCATCATGTGTCATCATTAATATCACCAGCCCCCTGGGAAAAAAACGGCCCTCGGCGCGAATCGTCGTTTCAGCGCCTTGTAACAGGTCCAGGGTTTTGGCAGCTCTGTTTCCATCATGGCTCTAACCAGCCACAGCATGGAGCCATCCTTGGGATCGATTCGCAGATAGTAGGCCCAGTCCTCTCGCGTGGTGCAGCGCTTGGTGAATGTCGATGTTCATTGATGTTAATAAAGATCGCTAAGATATACCCTCTGGTAAACGTTTACAGTTCGCTATGGAAAATCATCATTTTTAAGTTCGGTAAATCAACTATTTCTATGGGCCATTTTCAATAGCTATGTTAGTTTACCGGAGGGTAAATGTTGATTATTAATGTTGACTACCAATACAAGGTGGTGCCCCCAGTTCGGAAATGATAAGTTGGTGCGTTTCGAACTCCAATAACTCTCTATGGTAACTAAAAAGTAGTGATATATCGAACTAGATACTGGGCTTATAAACCATTTATAACTGGGGGGGACACCACCTTGCATTGGTTAATGTTAATAAAACCTGGATGTGATAATGATTTGATGTTTATCGGAAGCTTCCGAAACCCGGACTTGATCCTTTTTCCAAGGCGCCAACAGAGCCGTACCTGTTGGGTTTTGGCAACAGATATTTTTTCAGCCACAGAAATGGTTTTTTTTCAACAGCCAACAGCCAGATGGTGATTCGTTCCTTGTTCCGGCATGGAGCTGGAGACGGGACTGTCACTCAATAGATGGTGATTTTCCATAGTTATGTCAGTTTACCAGAGTGTATCTACTACAAACCATGGTTATAGTATCTTATAGTTGATTTTCCAGGCAAAACCCTCCATTTTTTTTGCGGAAACGTTGGTGGTGCAATGTGCCCATCTTGAAAAATGATGGAGTTCGTCAATGGGAAGGATGACATCCCATATATGAAATGGAAAATAAAATTCATGTTTGAAACCACCAAAGTTGTCCTTCAACCCATTTTTGCTGGGATTTTGGTGGGCACATCTATATGGGTCAGCTACAGCTGATGGCTGATACGTCGGAACCGGGATGGAGCTGAAAAACATCGGAAAATCAAACCAACACAATGTAGAAACACCGAAGACCGCAAACAGTTGTTGGGTATGTTTTTCTTACTACACTTTATTAACATCCATATATATATATATATACATATACTATATATATACTATGCCCTTCAGTAAATTAACATGACCGTGGCATGTGTTGGGCTTGGAAGACGAGTGAATTTCTATGGGATGATTTCCCAAAAAAAGGGGCCATCAAAAAAAAAACGTAGTTCACGATCTTTTCATGGTAAAGCCATCATGAAAATCCCCAAATTTTCTCAGTTGAGTCAGTATGTTTCTCGCTTGAATCACCATCTTTTCACAGTAAAATATGTAAAATCACAATTTTTATCCCCAAAATCTCTTGGGTGAAGTCAATCAAGTCCCCCATGTTTCTGATTTACCATCTGGGACTTATAACGTAGCTATGGAAATCACAACTTTGAATGGGAATATAAATCATGTTTATCATCTATTTCTATGGGCCATGTTCCATAGAGTAAATCACCCATTAATAGATGAAGTGATGATGTATGATGATGTCTCATTATAGCCATTTCTATCATATGTATTCAATGATATGGAGTTTAATGGATTTTAATGGTATTTACCCATTAATCATCATACCCTCTGGTAAACTAACAGTTCGCTATGGAAAATCACCAGTTTAATGGGAAAACTCACTATTTCTATGGCCATTTTCCATAGCAAACTGTAACAAATTACGAGGGGGTACATCACCCAATTTTCTGAACCAGAGAGTAAATCCCCCCATGTTTCTGAAATCTCCATCTCCTCCAGGCTGGGAACGGTCTCACACATCAGCGCTGGAAACTTCTCCAGCTTCACCAGCGCCTGCGACTTCGAGATGGCAAAGTGACGTGAACCATGGAAAAACACCGGAAAATCTGTAGGAAAATGGTGATTTAAGCCTCTTGAAAACTGATATTCAAGCAAAAATGGTGATGTTCAGCAGTCATAATGGTGATTTAAGAGAGAACATTGAGACGTTTTTCCAAGAAATGTTGGGATGTAACCAAGATAAAATGTTGATTTCACCTGGCCAAAAAGCGGAATTTAATCGGATATATACTTGATGCATAATAGCTAAGTTGGTGAAAATGAGTAGGCCAACGCTTGGGTTTCTGATAAATCGAACTAGTTAACTAGTTTGGATAGGGAGTTATAAACCAGCCGAGCATCAGATCCATTGGTAAAAAGCCATGGTTTCCCGCTGAAAGCCATAGCTTCCATGGTTAAATCAGATAAATCCTAAAAAAAACTTAGATCCCCCATGGTTTCCCTTAAACCCTCAGAGTTGTTCTTGTCACCTAGAAAACAACGCTACTCAACAAACAACGACCAACGTCGATCGAAAAAAAAAAAAAAAAAACACCTGCTGCGTCAGCGGATCATCGATTCCGAAGAGGACGTAGGGATCGGCGTCCAGGTATTCCAGTGTCTCCTGGCTGCAAGCCATGGCCTCTTCGATGATGAAATCCGGTCAAAAACGGTGATTTTCCACGTCTATGTTAGGTTTACCCTTGGGTCCTAGGGTACAATAAAATTGAATATATATATATATTGTATATATAAATTAGATACTGGTTGGTGGTTTCAAACCCTCTGAAAAATATTAGTCAGTTGGGAGTATTATTCCCAATATATTATATAACCACCAGTATAAATATGTTGAATATATTATTTCCGAAGATGAGAAAGAAAGTAGCTTCTTTGTTTCGTGTGCTGATGTCACCCACACTGGCAGGACTTGCAGTTTCTCGGTGCCTCGCTCAAAATGGCGCGCTTTTCGAAGTAGGACAGGACCAACGTCCAAAGGTCGTCTAGATCCTGCGATCGCGCCAAACAGGGACAAGTTGGAGCCGTTTTCTCCGCGGAATCCAATTTGTTGTATCAAAAGATATCAAAAGGTATCAAAAAGTTATGGAATATGATAGAAGCTTATGGATGTTTATGTAAGGCGGAACAAGAATTAGCAGAGTTTGTTCAAATCCTTGAAAAAAAAAAACGACTTCATCCAGGTCAGAAATTGTCCATCTCAAAACCCAGGCACAACTTGGATTTGCTGAGGATCAGTTCTATTTTCCCCATGGAAAATCCACTACTTGGGGAATCTTCGTTGGGAATATCTTTGATTTCGGAGAGTTCCTGGACAACCTGAGTGGCAAAAAGTTCGCACTGATTTTTTTTCAAGTGGACCTTGCCCCTACCCTACTGAATCAAGTGGGTTTATAATCCACTTGCTAAACATCAGTTTTTCGTGATATTTCTATTCTATCCATTCTGTTCCCAGCATATATATATATATTATATCCGTTATCTCCAGGCAGAAGTGAAGTTATAACAAATATAACCCTCTTCAACCAATTTCCTTGGTAGTTCGCCACCAAGTACATTCTTAGTATCCCCTTTTATCAGTGGTGACTAGTCGCCATGAATCCACCATTTTCTGTGGTTTTTCCCCATGTTAAACCATGACCCAGCAAATCATCAAATCAGCCCTGGGGCCCTTTTCCTTGTACCAGCCATCGCTCAAGCTGTCCAACGGCGGAATCACCTTCGAAGCAATTTGCGAAATGCGGATGTGCACAGGGGATGGGAAAATCCTGGAGTATATAGATAGAATTTCTGGGCTTCTTTAAAAGAAGGGTTTTATTTGCAATGTACATATTCTATCTACTCCAGGATGAGGTTTCTTTGAATGTGGGTAAATTATAACTATGCACCAATCTGAAATAGTTTTGGTCGTTTGGGGGCCCTCAGTCACCTTCATCATTTTCCGATGAGGTCGTATCATGTTATCCTTTTTTTGCCCAAAAAGTATAAACATATTTTATCATTACCTTTCAAGTAGACCCGACAATGTGACAATCTCAAAATAGAAAAGGCTAACTAAGTTCCTGAAATGAGGCAATGTTCATCTACCCCTGTGAAACACGTCTGTCTAACTGTTTAAAGGTCACCAATAAAAAACGCCAATATCGCGGCCAGTTGATGATCCCAAATACCAAGTCTGATCAACATGGCAATCCCACATGGCAATGAAAAATCTCTAAAAAAAATGGAGCTTTGAATGAAAGATTCATCTACCCGGCCTGGTAAACGTTGACAGTTTGCGAACTTGAAAATGGCCCAGTCGAAATAGTTGATTTAACCATCAAAAATGGTGGATCTTTCCATAGTTATGTTTGTTTAATGGTGATGTTCCATAGCGAACTGTTATTTTACCAAAGGTTATATTCATGGATGTTCAATTGCCGATGCCAGGATCATCCCACCTGCAGGTTTTGCCCTGGTGATCCTCAATCCCCCCATTCTGCAGGGTTTATCCCAAGTTTCTTCGGGCTGAAAAATATCCTTGTTATCAACATCTTTGGTTCGTGAATCCGCCAATGTTGCTCGGTAAAGATCGCCACTTTGCCAACTAATGATATGTTTGTTTGAGTCCGCGCATGTTCGTTGCCGAAAATTCCCTATTCTTGTTGCTTCATTCCACCATGTTCTATTGCTAAATACCCAGCAATCTCTTCTCCCACCATGAAATCCCCTAAAAATCGTGGCTTCGTATTGCATCTATTCATCTTGGTTCCCTGTTCGGGCATAATTATGTAATATTGTGGAAATATATGCATATTAAGGAAAAAAAAACTCAATATCAAAATAGATTTAAATGCATATAAACATATAAAATCATAACTAACTATCAACCATCAGCACTATAAATATATGACGCTAATAAAAATTCATAATGAAATTCCTGTCAAGAATTGTAACAATAACATAAGCATATACAACATCCTGCAGTAAAAAGTAAATGGCATGTTTTTGTGAAATGTCCTTCAGTAGACGGACGAACAAATCGAGCCCCGCAGACATCTACCAAGTAACCCAAGCGCGCAACCCAAAGACATGTGGGGGTTGACAACAATACAGCAAGGGTTTGATTTCATCGTCCATCTACGGTTGTTCTATCTACTGGACGCTGACTATAACATGTATATGTATGTATATACATAATTGCAGCATCCTCAACTAATCATCAACCGGCAATCATTTCTCAATTCTATCCTCCTATCTTTCATAGTTTAAAATCCACAACACGCCCTGGATTGATATAAATCGCAACCCAAAAATGGATCGAAAATACCTTAAGGAACCTGAAAATATGGTAAATATCATCTCTATACCATCCTGGTGGCATCCTTTTTGGCATCTTTTTCAGGTGATTACTAATCTTGGTAAAACAACCATAAACCATCCCCCATTTTTATAGGGGTTGAAACCATTCCCAGTCATGGATGGTAAAAACGACATGGTTTTAACCACTACATGTGACGGTGAAAATTGGGGAATCATGTGCTTAAAATTCCCCAAAAAAAAAGTTAGGGTACCCTTTGGTAATTTAACATAGCTATTGAAAATCACCATTTTTAATGGGAAAATCCACTATTTCTATGGCCATTTTCAATAGCTATGTTAGTTTACCAGAGGGTAACTGTCGCATGGCTGGTTAGCCATGGTAAAAAAATTGCTGATCATCCCTTCCCCCGGCCCGCGCCTCCTTCTCGGCCTTCCAACTGATCTGGAACTGCGGCCCCACGGCCAAGCCGTCCTCGTAGCCGCCGAAGCCTCGGTCTTCGGCAGAAAACCAGGGGATTTCGCTGGGAAATTCATGGCCTGTTCGGCCAACAAATCATGGCATTGAAGTAACAGACAGTGGGGAAAAATGGGCAAAAAATGGGGATTTTAAGAAGCAAAGATTGGGATTTCATATTGGATTGAAGCAATAGAAATTGCGATTGAAAGGTTGAAAAGCATCAATAGGGGAGGGCGGTAAAAAGAATCATGTCTATAGTTGGCATCAAACTTTTCCTAGGAATATGAAAGTCAATGGGGATCAATTTGTTGGATGGAAAATAAATCAATGTAAATGAAACCAGCTGCCAACAAAGTCCTGAGAATTCACCAAAAGTCTAGCTGGAAACACATCCCCCATTAAACCGACTGTGGAGTTCTTCGGCAGCCAAAGGACGCACCACTCACAGACCAACACACACTGCTGAGAATTGGCAATTCGTGTTTGCGATTCACAATCTATATTTATAGTACTATAGTGTGTATATACATATATATATATATCATAAATGCACATATATATATATAATATATATATATATGAATATGGTATATCTATATGAATGCATATATATATATATGTGTGTGCGCATATACACACACTATATATTACATGTTGATCTAATTTCTCTATCGGAATGTCGCAAAAAGCCAGGAGGCGCGTCTCCAAGAACAAGGGTTGACCCTCATCCAGGAACCTCAAGCAACGAAAACGGTGGAGTGAACCAGTGAACCAACGAAAAATGTTGTTTTTTAGCAAAGGAACATGGGGAGTTAACTCCAAGATTTTTTTGGGATTTTAAGCCTCATGATAAGAGTAGCTAAGTTGAGTTCTTGCAGTACTCGAAAACTGGGGAGGCAAGGCAAAAAACCACCCAACTGGATATACTCCACAGATCATATTTTCGGGGGATGATTGGTTGCCTTGAAGGGCATCTTGGTTCGCTAAACTTCAACTATTCGACTTACCCTCCGGTAAACGTTTACATAGCTATTGAAAATGGTTATAGAAATAGTGGATTTACCCATTGAAAATGGTGATTGTCCATAGCGAACTGTTAGTTTACCAGAGGGTAATATCAAGATTTCTGTTTTTTTTAGCCCACGTTCCCTCTATTGAATTGGTCTCATCTCTATTCTTCCGATGTGTTCTTCTGCTAAAAAAAACATTCATGGATGGTTCATTCCATCTGACATGCGCCATACTAACTATTCACCATAATTACCACATCAATAGTGCCCCTTCTTCCAAATCCCACTAAATTTAAAGCAGGATGAATAAACCCCCAGTTTGTTAACGGGGTGGTACCAATTTTGATAGATTATATCACTGTCTTGGGGGCCCCAATCATCAACATCCTATACAGAGGTGACAAAACCGGGGTGATACTGTTCAAAAAACATCCTTTTCTTCAGGATGGGGCCCCCCAGTTATAAGTGGGTTTATAAACCATTATAACCCCTATTAACTAGTTCGTTATATCTACCATAAAGCCACTTATAACATCCCAAGTTCTAGCCATCGAACATTCCAATGAAGAAACAGTTCTGCTGCTGAGACCCCACTTTAGCCCTCCAAGAACCCAAAATTCCATGGTGTTGATCCCCCATTCTCTACCCAAACATGACTCAAACATGACGTGTTTTCTTCAATTCCCCCATCATCCCCATCAGTCTCCGATTTTTTTAAAGCCCAAAAAAAAAATCCATTAATCATCCATTAATTATCCCCAAATAGTGGTTTTCTGATAATAATAATGATCCCAAAACTCCAAGCGCTTCGGAGAAAAATTACCCAGGACCAGTTGATTCCGCCAAGGAACATGCAGGCGTAGAAGCCCACGGGAATATTTCCTCGGGAGACCTTGAGATCTGCACGCTGGTGCAAGTAGCTGAACAACTTCGCCTGTTGAGCGAGGAAAATCCCGTTGAAATGGCATGGGTACCATGGGGATACCCCCAAGAATGGACATGCCCTGGCATAAATTATACACATGTGTATACACTAATTATGTATATGCATTCTATGTATATACTGTATATCTAAGATTTATTTTTGGAATCTGTTTGATGTGTGAGACATTCTCGGTTTTGCCCTGAAGGGACTTGGAAGTGGACTTGGAAGAAAGTCCCCAGCCATCGGGGACTTGCAACAGGGGTTAAGAAATGCCCTTTTCGTATGTGGATTCTACTCATCAACTTACGATACACGTGATTAATCTTGGATATCCTGCATAAAGTGTAGCTTCTTAGCTGGGGACTGGATGTATAATGTATGTATGTATGTAATGTAATGTCCTGTAATGAAATGTAATGAAATGTAATGTAATGAAATGTAATGCAATGTAATGTAATGTAGTGTAATGTACTGTAATTATGTATGTATGTATGTATCTATCTATCTATGTATGTATCTATCTATCTATCTATCTATCTATCTATCTATCTATCTATCTAACTATCTATCTATCTATGTATCTATGTATCTATGTATCTATGTATCTATGTATCTATGTATCTATGTATCTATGTGTCTATGTGTCTATGTGTCTATGTATCTATGTATCTATGTATCTATGTATCTATGTATCTATGTATCTATGTATCTATGTATCTATGTATCTATGTATCTATGTATCTATGTATCTATGTATCTATGTATTTATGTATCTATGTATCTATGTATCCATGTATCTATGTATCTATGTATCTATGTATCTATGTATCTATGTATGTATGTAATGTAATGTCCTGTAATGAAATGTAATGAAATGTAATGAAATGTAATGTAATGTATGTAATGTAATGTAATGTAATGTAGTGTAATGTACTGTAATTATGTATGTACGTACGTACGTATGTATGTATGTGTGTATGTATCTATGTATGTATCTATGTATGTATCTATGTATGTATCTATGTATGTATCTATGTATGTATCTATGTCTCTATGTATCTATGTCTCTATGTATCTATGTATCTATGTATCTATGTATCTATGTATCTATGTATGTATGTATGTATGTATCTATGTGCATCCCCTGTCAACCCGCAATTCATAAACCCTGATTGATCAATGATTTTTAGGTGCACACCCACAAAAAATTGTGCTGATCCGCTACTCAAATAGTAGCCCCAAATTCAACAGCCTAGATGTTGATGGATCCGGGGTTGACATGATATACATTTGATCAATGGCCATTCCAGGAACCTAAATTGGAGGTACCTACCATACATAAGGCCTATGTAAGGCCTATGCAAGGGAATATTCCCCCAAAATATGGCCTTATATGGTACTAACGTACCTCCATCTGTTGGATCCTGAAATTCCCATTGATTTGAAGCTAAATCATGCAACATTGGCACCTTGGGTACCAAGCTTGATACAAACATAAATTTTTGGGACCGACTGAAAGCCTTCAGAAACCCTTCACCACACCATCCGATTGATCCTCCATTTTCTGATTCCAAATTCATCAAATCAGATACCCTCTGGTTATGACTAACATAGCCATGGAAAATCACCATTTGTAATAGGTAAACCATCTATAAATGGGCCATGTTCCATGGCTATGTTAAATTACCAGAGGGTAAATCAGCTAATCAGCTTCTGCTGATCTTTTTGCGGAACTTGTGAAGCAACAAAAAAAACTTTACCATTCACCACCGCAACCCATGACATCTCATGACATCTACCCATTCCCGCGCCGAAAAGGCCGCAGGTCACCTCATCCTCTGTGGGTGCTTTGCGGGTGGTTCCAAATCGGATGACCTTGTGCCTAGGTGAACCCTTCACCAAGGATTTCATCATAGGACAGGGGACATGGCGGCCAAGATTGATCCCCGTCCGGGTTTTTTGCAAAAATCACCCTGGTGATATCCAGAAAAGTATGCTCAACTGCACCAAGTATCCAGTAAAATATATAGTGATTCCTGGTGGTTCATCGTGAAAAATATCATGAGATGATGAGAAGATTATGGAATATCTCCATTTATTGGAAAAACCACAATCACAGAGAACACCGCGGTCCTACAACCATTTTTCGCCATGGCCATTCTTGGCTTCGTTCAATCTCTGAAAAATCTGGATGAAAGGCCCATCCGTTGATACAGTGAAGCCCATCCCTAACAACCTCCACCTTAGGTGCCTAGGCAGCCCTCCCGGTGGCCGCTCTTCCAAGGGGCTTGGTGATAATCTCGGTCTTGGGAATGTGTGCATTGATGGTCGGCTTTGCCGCTGCCATGGCGAGATGAAAAAGAAAATCTAAGTATCAACTCAACTCTGAGCTGAAGACCACAACTATTCCATTCATTCATTGGGGGAAAAACCATGGAATCCATTGGTGGGGAAAAAAACCATTCCATCCACTGGTCGATCATCATTTCCCTCACATCACTCCACATCTGTCACAGCCAGTCCCGGTGCCGGACCCTGCGCTGATTTCACGCCGGGCCGGCAGTTCAACTTTGCCGGGGACCTATCTACAGCGGGCTGCGGCTGCGAGCGACGACCATGCTGAAATCATCGGCCACGGTGGATGGGTTGCTTAAAGAAGTGGATCGGTGGATAGAGTTGTACAATCACAGAGCTGATTTAACTCAGAAAGAACCATATTTCCAATATGTTGGAGAATATTTTGGAGAATATTTTGTTTAATATGGGGATGGGTCAAAACCCTGGTACCTAGTGAACCACAAAATAGCTGGTAAATGGATGTTCATCCCACTAAAAATGTATCTATAGGTATTGACCCATACCCATATGTGAAAAGATGGTTTTTCAATTTCGTCCAATTTCATATTCTCCACTCACTCCCAACGCTTGAAAACCTTCCACTGGATGAACGGCCCCAAGGTTTCTGCGAGATTCTGGTGGCAAAGGGTCTTCCAATGGATTACTTGGAAGTGCAGTTCCATGTTACACTAAGTGATGATTTCACCATAGGTATAGGGCTTATGTATATATATATATATCCCAAGAAATATGGAGGTTTAGTTAGGGAAGTCATGAACGGTCCTCCCCAAATACGCTTCACCTAGCCATCAACCCATCAACCTATCTGTGCGTGGAAACCATGTAAGCCAGAACAGGTGTCCGAACCGAATGCGATCATGAAGAAAATGTACGCAAATCTGTGATTCTGTGCACCGAACTTGAGGTCAAAATATATTACTGTAACCATCCACAAAGAAAACCGTGTCTTTTTCTTGGATTTTATGTGAGTGGCGGCTTACATACACAATTTTGGGGGCATCAGTTATCTTTGACCTGTAGGGGTAGCTTCGCCATTGGTAATCGTAAATCCTACCTTTTTTTTTGGTTGACAACCTATACCATAACACGGAAAATCCATGTCCAATGGCCTACCTAATTTACCTAATTACTGGGTGCTAGTTTATTAAACTTACCCTCCACTAAACCAAGACAATCAAGACAAGATATGTAAACTCAACCATGTATAGATAAGGTTCCTGCTTGGTTCAGTGCAGTTCCAGGCTTCACTTTAAGAGGATGTATTTCACCATAGTTGTAGATGTTCTAGGGGCCAAAAATCTCCCAACAAACCGCTGGGGGTTAGGGAAAACCATGGCATCCATGGCATCCTACCCCCGCTGGCACCTCAATGGCATATTCCTGACCATCCATGGAGACGTACGGAAGGCCTTGAACCTGGCGACCACATGACCAGAAGGTGAAGCGTTGGGTGACAAGAATTGTGATGGTCAGGTTTCCCCCAATATCTAGATGGATGATCTTTTTGTGAAACGATATACCCTCTGGTAAACGTTAACAAAAAACTATGGACAATCACCATTTTCTAGCTGGGTAAATCCACTATTTCTATGGCCATGTTCAATAGCTATGTAAACGTTTACCAGAGGGTACCACAAATTCTGATCTCCGATTTTCGGATGTGCGGGATCCAGTTGGTGTATGACCCTACCTTTTTCTACACCCCAAATGGGATAAAAGCCAGTTGCATGGCTTCACCAGTGGATTCCCAGCCGTTTCTGGCTTTGGAGAAAAATATCTGGGAGTGCCCCGAAGTCCCATCAACATGTGTTCATCTTACAAGGTGGTGCCCCCGTTCGAGAACGCTAAGTTGGTGCAAATAACTCCAATACCTTAACTATGGTTTTTGTTGGTGATATATCGAACTAGTTTTCATGGGGTTTATAAACCAATTTATAACTGGGGGGGCACCACCTTGTATGGTCATCTTATGGTCATTTTGCTGTATCCCGCCATGAAAAGAACCAAGCCATTTCGCCAAAGGAGATGACCATGACCAGATTGGACGTCTCCAGGACAATGGGTGCCCCAGCGAGTTCGTGAACGCTACGTTGGTGCGTTTATAACTCCGAGTTCACGTTTGGGTTTATGGATATCTGGCAGTGTGTCAAAACCTTATACCCCTGGTGAACATCAAAATAGCTGGTAAATGGATGTTCATCCCACTAAAAATGGTATTTTCATAGGTATTGATCCATACCCATATATCGAACTTGTTCATCGGGATTATAAAGTTTATAAACCAACAATCACATCACTGGGGGGTACCACTTTGCAGGATTTTGTTGCTTCTACATTATAAACCATGCTTTTACTGGAGTTTAGTTGTTCTATGCTTCATCATTCAGCACCACAAAGTTTACCACAAGAATCGCTCACGATCCCTCGCATCCGCAAATTCCATGGTCTAAATACATAGAACGTCTAATAAGTGTAATATTATTTGTATATGTATATATACACAGTTGTATACATGTATGTACACATAGATATGATATAGTTAAATACTGTATATATGTATATATGTATATATACGTATGTGCTCACCCTCCAAGATCTACCTAAGTCAGATCTTTGAGTGAGCCACACAATGCCATCGCGCAAAATGACCCCAGTGCACCTCCCAGACAGATTTGCCGTATCCGTTCATACTGACACCGTCCTGCAAAACGTAGGTGAAGTTGTAGTAACCTGCAAGACTTGGGTGACTTGTACCTGACTCGCTGGGAGGTCTTGAAAATATGGGTTTGTCTGAAAATAGGGTATATTCCCAATTATAGCCATTTAATAGGGATAATGATCAGCAAAACCATTGGGTTTAGGGGTACACTATTTTCAGACACACCCATATACCAAGATGGGTCGTTTCTGACCTATGAAATGACCATCTCGGGGAATCACCATCCGTTCACCAGCAACTTAGCGTCGAGCCTGCCGGGGTTCCAGCGGAAACTTCGCACACCTGGGAGGTTTGTTTGTGGATGACAAAATGACTAGAACTGGATGATTTTTTGGGGATGATATATGAATCATATGAATATTAGTGATAAATAGTGAGCACCATAAACCATAGATGACCATAGATGACCATAGATATATATATATACATGATGATGTGATGATGATCTGGAGGTGTCCTAAGGGTCCTAAGTCATGGGGCTACCCCTAAATCATCCGAGTCATAAACGACCATTTCAGTATTAAAACCTATGGTGACGACTGGGGGTACCCCCAGCCAGGACAGTGACTTCCCCAAAACCCAAAGAGAAAGGCAAGTGTCGGTGACTTCAAAAAGAGCTCAAAATCCATGGAGGAAACTTGGTTGATCTTCATTCGTCTGCCATTTTCTCAACGTGACTGCCCAACTCATCCAATGGGTCTCCGGACACCCTCCGTCTCGGTCGGCGTCTCCAGAATGTCGCAACGAAATTCGTCGCGCCCAGCTGGCAACGCGAGGAGGGTTTAAGGTCAAGTTGCTTGGTTCTGCGTTGGGGTGAAGTTGACGTTACAAATGGCCATAACCATGGTTCTGAACGACCATAAGAGTCCATAAGTTGGGATATAACCACTATATATCCACTATGACTATATATGTATATATATATACTATATATATAATACTATATATATATATATGTATATAATTATGACGATATATATATATATATATCCACTTATGACTGGAACTGCACTTCCAAGTGGTCATTCCAATTGTTGGGAATGCGTAAAAAAAAATTGGCCAGTTGAATTCCCCAAGAATGGTGATATGACCATCCCCCAAAATACATGGACTCTTATGGTTGTTCAACTTGTTAAACAAATAACAAGGGTGATATAGTCCAACTTTTATTCAGCAAATCCAGGTATATAATCCAACTTTTTCAACTCTTGGAATGATGGTTTTGCGATGCAATGATTTGCTGAAAACGAAAAAGGTGAAAAAAAATAAAACTAGTTGACCCCGAAATGTTGGGTCATGGGCTAGTTCCCCCTTGGACGCGATCTATGGCGACATCGTGGTGAATCGTGGTGACGTCGGAGTCAGGCCCAAAACTTCCAAGTCTCAGCAGTACCAGGCTCATATTTTGCTGTAATCATCAGTAGGTTGTATATATATATGTATATATATAACCACAATGACTATATATAACTATGACTATATTATATATGAATATATATATCCACTTATGACTGGAGTACCAGATTGCAACTACTAATTCTGTTGAACACAACTCAGCCACGAGTACAAGCCGCGGAAATGCTGATTAATTGGGTCAATCATCTACAACTGCCATATTAGACATCCCAGCCCCAGTGACGCGAGAGGATGAAATCAATCATTCCGTCCTTCACATGTTCAAACTGCGTTTCCCAACTGCCCGGTTCATGTACTCTGGGGTACCCCAAGCACCTTCATTGATTCGCATTTTAGTGACCAATTTTCAACGAAAAACTCCAAGCACCAGCTCTCACACCAGGCCTTTGTCCGACAAGATCTCAATGCCAGTCCCCAAATAGGCGTGCATGATCTCTGTCGCATTTCTCTTTTCACCTGCCGAAATGGTCTAGTTTTTAAACAAAGCCCAAAACTCCTGGGGTCGCCAGCCGAAAATTCGGTGAGAGTCGTCATGAAAGCCCTAGGGGATTATCATCCAAATAAATGGTGGAAAGTGGAAAAGTTAAAATTTTTCCACCATCCCTCAAGTAGATTTAACCACCATTTGTTTACCCTGAGAACTAGCCATTTTACGAAAGTAGATTTCCCCGTGGCTGAAGGTCCACAGTGGTCTCCAGCCTGCTACTTTTCCACAACGGCAGGCTGGGAGTCTTGAACCCACCAGGAAGTTTGACACCCAGATGGAAACTTGCAGACAGGACTACGAAGGCAGACTATCACCAATGTGATAGCCTGTGCAAAAATCCAAATCCTATGATTATATATGATTATAGACCATAAATTA